GAGGAGATGGATTGTTTAAGTTTAGAGTTTGGAGTTAGAGATATTAATATTTGTTTACTTGTATTTGAATGTTAGCCTAGGTTTGGTTTGGGAAGTCCGGGGGGTGGGGGGATGGGATAAATCATTGTGTAATACCTGTGATGTATTTCTTTTTTCTTTTATGATAAAAACAATAAAATTTTATATTGAAAAAAAAAGACAGAGTGGAAGAAGGAATCAACTAGGAAACATGGATGGAAATAAAGGTAGTCCTTGAGTTATGACATTTTTAGAGACCTTTTGAAATTACAGTGGCACTGAATGAAGAGACTTGAGACTGGTCCTCAATGTTCTGGTCGTTGCAGTCTCCCCCCCCCTCCAGTCTTGTGAACAAAGTTCATGAATTATTGTATGCCACCCAGAGTCACTTCTCATAAAATAGGCAGATATATACATTTGTTAAATAAATAAATATTTAACTTGTGGATTGGATCCCTGTCCCACCAGGCTAATAAAAGCAGCCAGGGAGGAGGAGCCTACATCTGTGTTGTAGGGTCAACACTTTGATAAGGTGCCAGAGACCCTTAAAGAGGCACTGGTCTGCCCACACCTCAAGGGGCCAAGCCTGAATCCAACAAAAGTGGTCTACTATTGTCACATCTCTAACCTTGAGGTTACTGGATTATTGAAAAAGTGGTAGGGCTACAGAGGACTCTGGAATTATCTGGATCTGTGGCAATTTGGATTTGAATCTGGGCATCAGACAGAAACTGTACTGAGCTTCCTCATGTACGATCTGGGATAGGATTTGGATGGCAGGAGTATGACCATTCTTGTCTACCTGGATGTTTTGATACCATCAACCACAAAACATCTGTGAGGGCTGAGACCCGGAAGCACAGTGTTATGGTTCTCCTAGTCTTATCTGAGTGGATTAGGGTTATGGTTATACTGTGGCAAATAGGACTTTTGCACAGTTTTACTTGATATACCATTTGCAGCTTTACTTGGAACACAATGCACTAAAAACAACCCTTACCATTTCTAGATTAGTTTATTATCATTTGTTTTACATGGGATATACTGCCCTAGCATAACAGAACTTTACGTTGCAAGAACTATTTGAAACATATTGAATCGCTGCTTGGCTTTAATCTTTTAACTCGTTAGAGGATAATCATAATTAACAGTAGCTCTTAAATAGGTGTTGGGGTAAACTGGATCTTTTGCTTTGGATGAACCTGTCAGGATGTAGCTGCTTTAACCTAAAATGCTCTTGGGTTATTAAGTCAATTGAAGCACTTGTTTCTTGGGCTATTTGATCCTGACACTGTTGCTTTAACTGAAATGTCATAGTTGTCAGGGTCTCTAGAGGAACCATCTGAGGTTCTTAAGCCAGTAATCTGCTTCTTTTGAAATGTCTAAGCATGACATTGTTTACTTTAATTTCCAAATAATTTTCAGGAAACAGTGGAAGGTTGCTTTAAAATAAATTAATGTCTTTTTACAGGCAGTCCTCTCTTAACGATGGCAATTGGGACCGGAATTTCCAACAGTAAGTGACATAGTCGTAACACACAATGTCATGTGATTGTGCTTGTTAGCAAATGCAGTTCCAATTCTTCTGCTTGCCATTATTAAATGAATCACATACCATTTTCAAAAATGTCATTTCAACCAGCTCCTGCCGGTTTCCCCATTATCAGAAGTCAGCAGTGTAGGCTGCCAACAGTGACTGCCAGACCTTGCAATACTGCAATATCATAATTGTAAAAGTGCTTGCTGAGCTCCTGGGTTGCAATTATGTGACTGTAAGAAAACTGTGACAGCCAGAACTTTGAGAATCGGTCATAAGTACCATTTGTTCAGTTCTGTTGTAAGTTCAAATTGTCTCCGAACAAATGGTCGTTAAGCGAGGTCATTAAGATATTTTTTAAAAATAGGAACTTTTTTTGCTTTAGCAGTAAACGCTTTCCAGATGTTTTGATAAGAGTTGGGTGCAACTGCATTGAGACTAAGTATGCAATTAAGGAATTGGAATCTTAATTCATATATTCTAGACGTCCTATTATTATCACATTTGTGGCTGAAATCCACAGGATTGCTAAAGTGCCTTCTGAGTAATCACTGCTGATTAAGAATGCAAATAATTCGTCTGATTAAAACTTATAATACAACTTTGGAAGGGCAATCTGCATCAAAGTTGCAGCAGTGCATTGCCGATAGGTATCATCTGTCAGCAGCAAGCTGGTCAAATTTATTTGAAGTTGTTTCATACATTTCTACAGATTTATAAAAGATAAAAATTCACATGTTAATTCTATGTACGTATTTCCCAGACTAGGGCTGAAGGAATGTGCCTGAGCCAAAGTCATCCAGTTGCCGTCAGTGCTAAAGGAAGTTTTAAAAGTCTCTACAATCGTAATCCTGAATCTTAATTTACCATACAACATTGGTGCTTGTTCTCTCTCTCATATATACAAATACAACATGCATCTGTTTAAATAGGCACTGTGATCCAATAAGCATGTTGAGAGGCGAATAAACATGTGCTGATTCCTCTTTATAGCTTCCCTGCCGAGAGGCAGAGCTCTATCAGAGTTCTTTTACTGAAGCATGTACATAGTACTGTCATTTAACTTTATTCATCTTTAAGCTTCTTAAAAATATCAATAATTTTTGACGAATAAAAGCATTAACACATATACTTACTTCTAGCCTTTGAACTATTTCTCGGATGTCATCGGCACAGTTATCAAATGCAGACAGAAGAATGCATTCTCCTCTTTCGTAAAAGATTTTTATGCTCATTAACCCAGAAGTCCAGCCAATAACATCTCTGCAGGAGCAGTTGAACACAACATTTTTTGACTCCTTTTCAATCAAGACGATAAACTCATTTGAGATACCAAGCAGGCATTCAATATCAAGAGACTGTCCAAAGTCTCGTGCTATCACATTCCATATTACTGCTCCAACACTGAATAAATGAGCATCCTTTCTTGCCTTAACTCTTTCTCTCTTTTTTGCACCTAGTGAAATGAGGCTAAACTTGACCGAAGTTTCTATTGTAGCAGTAGTAACAAAATTTTCTGCTAGATCTTTCAAGTACTCTTGACGTGTTCTGGTTGCCATGGCTCGAAATTTTTCTGATTTATGGGCTGCATTTTCTGCATTAATAACTTTGGCCAAAAGGAAGTCCCGGAAAACTGCTGACTTAGGGAAAGTTACTCCTTTAGGAATTGGTGGTCCAAAAGGTGGAACATCTTTTGATCTTGAAACTCCAACACTAAAAAAGTAAAGAGAGACTGAAGAAGTATTACTGTTCACGTCATGATTCTGTACAAATTAAAAATTATTTTTCCCTAATGATTTTTATACTCTTTAATAGATATCTGATGACTAAGCAGCAGCAAGCAGTAGAGGTTGAAGAACCTATTCTAATTATGGCATTTTGCTGTCACATTTTAATATATGCTTTATTAGCCAATTAGTCTAAGTTTCTGTTGTACCAACGCATCACAATATGAGTGCTGGTAAAGCTTTAATGATTGGAAGAGATTCAGTGCAAAGACATGAAACTTCTACCTCAACTACAGATACCGTTCTCTAGCCATGTAACTAGGAGCTGTAGTGGTGCAGGGGTTAGAATGCAGTATTGCAAGCTAACTCTGCCTACCGCCAGGAAGTTAGAGGTTGGTTAAATGAGGAACCAGATTGTTGGGGGCAATATGCTGACTCTGTAAACCTCTTAGAGAGGGCTATGCAACAGTATATATATGAAGCAGGGCTATGAAGCAGTCCCCAACCTTTGTGGCTTGGTGGCCCAGCCAGGGGAGAGGGGAACTGGGCCATGCAAGGGGTGAGCCGGCGTGCACATGCACAGCTCAACTTGCATGAGCGGTGGGCCGGCACGCATGCACATACAGCTCAACTAGTGGGCCACAACCTGGGACCGCTGAGCTAATAGCTATTGATAGTGCTATGAGCAAGCTGGGATAGAACACAAGCATTCTTCTGATTATATATAAGACATACTTTTGGTTTTCTCTCCCCTGCAGCCTTCAGATATCCCTAGAAAGTCGGGGGGGAGATCTAATGTGGGAGGCTGCAGGGGAAGAGAATCACTTCCTTTACTTCTGTGTATAGAAACTGCTTCTCTAAGGAAAATTCATTACAAACTCAGCTAATTATAGTGACTAAATACTGATTTTCTAAGTTTTGCTAATAATCAAGCTTTGTAGATGACAGAGGAAAATGCTAAAATTCAGGACATAATGGACTTCAAGAAGCAAAATCTATTGGTTCACACATGTGTACTCACCTATAACACACTTTTTCAGTGCATGGATTATGGACTTTGACAATGACAAAGACATGCTGAAAATGAGAACGGATATTTTTTGGAGTAAAAGGAAGTGCTCCGGGCTCTTGAAAGACAATAGTAACAATGTCATTTCCTATATGCCTTTTCCTTAGAAGCTAGATGGGAAGGGGGAAAAAAAAGAAAATAATTAATTATGAAAATTCAACTCTTTTACTTATTGGGAAAAAAGGGTTAATATAAAAAATTGGAAGTCACATAAGAAAATGAAGTCATTTAAATCATAATAAATGTATTATTGCACATGGAGGAGATAAATCAATAACGATACACTAATCACTCCCAAGTATATTTAATAATCTATCTCTTATATGTATTTGAAATATAATAAGCTTTTGAGGAAAGGGAATTGTTAATTATATTCAAGTATGCAACATGAAATATAAAGCCACATTTACTGACTCCTGTTATTTTGTTCTACTTTATTCCCGAAATGTAATTTCTTAATCTTTGAAGAGAATATTTGTAACTCAGGGTTGAGCTATGGAGTCCTTACTGCTCTCCGAGCTTGGTTGTTTTCTTGCAGATGCTTCATTATCGAACTAGGTAACGTCAATGCTTTAAAAAGAAAAGGCACTGATCATGTTACCTAGGTTTTTTTTTTTAGCACTGATGATGTTACCTAATTTGGTAATGAAACGTCTGCAAGAAAACAACCAAGCTCAGAGAGCACCAAGGACTCCATATTTCTTAATCTTTCATATCCAAAGTACAAAATGGTAGTTGTTTCTTTAGTAAGCTTTTCTTTACACAAAATTAAAAAGCTGATAATGCCGACCATTCTGCAATTATTTAGAAGCAAAAAACTCTATTACAAATATCAAAGTCTAGGAATTCTGTAGACATGAACCTATTTTCTTCTTTAAATGCATTTTCACAAGAGCGCTCCACAGCATCAAACCAAAAGCTACTTCTTGCAGTATTTTGAAAGCACAGATTTTAGAGAAAGAAACTACTGTAGAAAACCATGTAATCAGGTACCTGGGTTTCAAAATTAATTAGAATTATTGCAAGATTTTTTTCCCCTGTATTTACTTGGTATAATAATCAGTTAGGTCACTGCACTGTAGAGATTCAACTTAGCCTACATTTAACCTGTTTCAGTTAAATGGCAACTTAATTATGCTTTTGAATTGAGAAGATAGTGAGAAAATAAGCATTCATCTGACACAAGCTTAACAATGGCTATAGAACATAATCTAGCTTTATTAAGATTAATGCAAGTTTTGTCATGACATCACAAATAACCAACTAAAGTTTAATGGACCATTTAGAGAAAAAGGGTGTCCACTTAATTCTGAATGACTATTAAATACAGAACTAGGTCATTAGAATCCATTTGTGCCATTTGCATAATTGTGGTATTGTCGTTTTTTTCTACCCTTATGCAAACAATGCAGTGATTTAATATTAAATCTTTCTGTAAATATGCCAATTATCCAAGTAGATACAAATGATATGAATTATTGCAATTGTCCAGATTGTTTCAGAAATAATGCAAAAAGTTTATGAGAAGTCCAAACTAAAACCTCATCTGTTGCAATCAAAGTTTGCTGAATGAAAAGCAACAGAATAACAGTTTTACTGTAGCTGTAATTCATTTTATAATTGCACACACACCTCATTTTAATGGAGTGTAAATTGTTAAATCTAAGAATAGACTGAATTCTCTTTAGTGAACTAAATTAATGCCAGTTTATCTTCCCAAAGTGAAGAATAATTGACAGTCAGATGTTGTTACTAGCCAAAGAATAAAACTTATAAATTTCATATTGGTATATGAAATGCTGATAAATCACAGAAAAAAACCAGAAAAACTCATACAATTTTCACATGCATTATTTTCACTCTGTAGCAAAAGAAGTGTTTTTCCCCAGTTTAAATCTATTTTTATAAAAAGTTGACCAATTTTTCATGCCAAATTAGCCCCATCCTAATTCCTGAGAGAAAAGAAATTCTTCCAACTCCCAACCCACTTCAAGAAAAATATAAACAAGCTATATATACACATACATACACACATACACACACACACACATACATACATACATATATTCTGATTGCGATGTTAGTAGTAAGTCAAGGAAGACAGAGAAAAATAGGAATAAGATTAAATACATATATTAAAAAATCAAACTAATGACATCCAGTGTAGCAACCAGTCTTAAAATTGATAATGAGGATATTGAAATGATGGACAGATTCTGTCTTTTAGGAATGAATATCGACAATAAAAGAACTGGCAATCAAAAAACACACCACAGACTAGTACTTGATACAGGAGCAATGAAAGTATTGGAAACAAATTACTCAGCTGCTGGATATGTACAAACCTGAAAGATCAGGATTGTGCAGATAATGATTTTTCATGTACTATTCTAAGGTCATAAAAATTGAACTTTGAAGAAGCAGGATAGAAAGAGTCTTGACATCTTTGAACTTTAGTATTAGAGGAGATTACTGAGAATACCATGGATAGCAAACAAAGCAAATACATCCTATAACTAATCAACTCAGAATTTCTCTTGAGAATGACCAGACTCAAATTATCATACTTTGGGCACATTAGGCAAAGAACTAGCTCCCGGGAGAAGTCTATCATTCCGGGAAAGGAGAAAGGAAAGATAACAACCAGAAGCAAACCTGAATGAATTCAATTACAACAGCAATGTGTGCACTACTGGAAGACCCGAAAGACCAGACTGGGGACAGACTGTCCTGTAAAAAAATCCATGTGTTTGTTAAGACTGGACACCAACCTGATGACACATAATCAATCAATCCGTCAGAATGTACTCAATTGCAGACAGCACCCATTTATATTGATATGTTCATGGAATATGTTTTCTCATGCTACATTTTTGTTTGGAAAGGCAAAGATGTGCTCAGCCTTAGCTGAAAGATCTCTGGACTAATGCCTTATTCTGTTTGAGTCATGCCCTTGAAATTTACACTCTGTTAGTGATGCCTCTAACTGTGATGCCTCACATTTACAGACATTTCTTGCACAGCCCTACTGTATATTTCCATTTAACTGGCATGATACACATTTGGTCCGAATAGCTTCAAATATAATTATTTTGGGCTAGTCACTCTCTATCAGCTCAACACACCTCACAGGATTGTCGCTGTGGGGAAAATAGGAAGAAGAAGATGTGTTAGATATGTTTGCTACTTTGAGTTATTTGTAAAAAATAATAAAGGTGAGATACAAATAAATAAATTATTAAAATAAAATGGGAATTCTCAAATTCTTAAAAATGAATGAGGTCCAAGATACTGCATGTATATATGTGTGTGCATTTAAATCAACACAACTATGGTTATCACTAAGGTAAACAAATCAGGAAAACAGACCTGTGAGTCCAAATGTAGAAGTAAATGTAAGAAAAAATAGTGGGTGTGGGTGTGGGTGTGTGGGTGTGTTCTTTTCTTTTCTTTTAAAACAAGTTTTATTAGTTTTTTCATTTTACAAACAAGTGCTTATGAATCAACGTGGTGGCAGGGCAATCAATTGTCCACAAACAAAGTCATACTCATAAAGTTCAGATTAATTCATTAAAAATCCCCTCACTTTTCCCTCTAGTAACATATTATATTCAAGTTAATATATTTCAATACAACTAAGTCAATCATAACAATCCTCAATAACCTTTCATCTAAATAGATCCATAAATCCAAATCCTGTGTTAAGCTTTACTATTTCAGTTACTATATTCCATATTTCTAATCTAAATGCATATTTAACACTTCGGGTGTCTCTCCATTACCTTTTTCCTTAACATATTCAGTAAACATTTATTAGTATCATTTCTTCTTTTTTCTTATTCTTCTTCCATTACAAAATAGCTATCATTTCTAATAAAAAAATATTAGTTCAGAAAAGAAAAGAGAAAAAAGAACAAAAAACAAAAAACAAAGACAAAGACAAAACAAAAAGAAAGAAAAAAGAAAAATACCTTTCTATTTCTATTATACTTTATAATCTATCAATCAATCCCTCAATATCTGTATCAAATTCCTTTAACCTCCTCCCAAAATTACTATATCCAGAACATATTAATACATAGACAAACATCTTGTTATTACATTCAGACCTTTAATTAATTTTTATTCAATCTAACATCTTATTTAACTGTCTTAAGNGCCTCTATATCAATGAACAAGTCACTTTTTATGCCTTGTAATATCCTTTGGATCAAACAGAAACGTCCCCTTTTCTGTTTTAGAGACCTAGCTCCTTTGTAAGTAATCCCTTGTTGTTTTAAAGAGTCAAGTCTCCACGTTTGAAACTGTTGAATAGCAGGCTCAGTTATTTCCAGCTTTGTAGTTAATAGTTGTTTATCCAAGCTACCATAGTTCTCAGTTCGTTGAGCTTGTCTGTCCATTTCTGTTGGTTCTGGAGTTGTAAGTGTTTTAGTTACAGTCCTTTTTAGTTCCTCGAAAGTCTCATCAGCATGGGTATGAAGTAAAGTGGAATCTTCTTTACCCTTAGTTGATCCTGCTTCTGTTGTTTTTTGGTCTATAGAATGCTCAGATAAAGTCTGGGGGTCAGTTTGTAAATTCAAAGCAGGATTTCTGTTTTTTATTTCCATAGTAAACTCTTTTATTTGCAGACATATTTCGTCAGTAGTTTCAGAAGGTTTTTCCAGTATGAGTTTATAGTCAAGTTGAACATAGGGTTTCTCCATTTCAGAAATAGTTAAAAACAATCTGTATCATTTAGTAGAGGCTGTGTGCAAGGAACATTTAATCAGTATCCACCCCCACCAGTACAGCTGTTAAAAATTTTTATGTTTTTCCTTTTATGATGGTCTGAAGGTCAAAGTTAGTCTCACCATCAGAAAAAGAGACAGTTGCAATTTTAACTTTTTCCACAAGGTGTCGTCAGTAAAATATAAAATCTTCTCCCAGAGACTAGAAATATCATAAACAAGATCAGAAAACACAGAAAAAGGAGAATTCTTCAAATGTAGACAAAGTCCAATAATAGATTCAATATTAAAAAAATTCCAAGACCCCCAAGTGAATAAAAAAGAATAAAAAAAGGAAAAAAAAGTCACTTTAAATTAATTCAGTCCATTTAAGCTTCTTTTTT